TGTGTGTGTGTATGTGTGCGTATGTTTATTAACACTTAACTACACGACTCTAAGATTACATGACAATCATAGTCTCGGCGCCTTTCTCCTTCGAGATAAAGTTAGAAATCTAAGTTCAGAAATTTGAGCTATTAGAAGAAAAGCACATGCCACTTTGCATTCTTGCATACAAGAGCTGTTGCTAGAGGGCTTAAAATTGACCCTAATTTTCTGTGACAAGTGCCCGTGCAAGCCTCTGCAAAGGAGAGATATAGCACTGATTAGTGTTTAGATTATTACAAAGTTCCAAACAACTATTTGCAAATCTTCTAACTTAGAGCCAAAGCTTTTAAGACTATAGTTCTTAAGAGTTTGGAGAAAAAAATGCTTATCGAACCCTGTTCTAAATACCATCGGAAAAAAATTTATTTTACTTACCACATAACTTGACGTGGCTGGCGTATTTCTTCACAAACGGAAGGTTGGCATTTTCTTGTTCAATGCAAAGCAAAGGGTTTCTTTCGATTTGCGCTGCCTTATTGTCTGGTCCGAGCACAACATTCTCCACTTTTATAAGTTCTGCGATACTTTTCAAGTTGGCATTGTCCGTTATTTCAATTGCAGGTTTAGATGATTCCTCTTTCCACTCAATCTTCTTCAATTTAGGCATGGCGGGCAGCTTTTCCAAAGTAGTTTTACGCACAATAACTCGACCATACACCTCTTCAAGATTTCTCATATCATCATTTATGGGATCTCCAAGAACAAGAGGTCCTTCAACAAGTTTGCATGTGGCTGTCTGCGTTCGGGTGTCGCTGCATGCTGGAAACATCTGATAAGTTTAGTTGCTAAGATATCAATCTGATGGTCTGAATTAGTCCGAAAAATAGGGCAATGTATGATAAGAATGAGGTTTAAAATTCGAGATTGAGGGAGACTTCAAATTAGCTTTTGCAAGATGCGGTCTCAAAGCAAGAGTTATCGTATATCAGAAATGGACATCTTGAATCCTGTCACACAACAGTATTCAAAAAAAATCGTCAAGTCAATTTGGTATAATAATTTGACCAACACGTTTGAAAATAACATTTAATTTGTACTGAAAGCTCGTTGCGTTCGTTCTCCTGATGAACACTTTAAGTTTTGGAACCTGTATCCATCTTCACGACCATCCATACAAAGTCTGAGGTTTCCTGTCGAAACAGGCTTTGAAACATATTAACCTGCGAAAGCTTAGATTGGCACAAGCAAGATAAATAACGGGAGAGAGATGCTGGGAACATCTATGAGGTTGTCACATCATCTCCAGTGAGTTTTCTGACCCTTACAATCACTGTAACTCTAAAGAAAGAGAATATACATATATACATAATATATGCTGAACGGAGTTTGAAAATCCTTTCGCTGCATCCTCAAAACCTTAGGCTTACTTCTCCACGATTTCTATCTTATTCTGAATTCCATATGTATGTATGTATGTATGTATGTATGTATGTATGTATGTATGTATGTATGTATGTATGTATGT